ACTGCCATTTTTAAACTGCTCTGGGATGAATAGCCAATGTCCCAGTGCCATTTTAATATAGCAGTTGGGACGTATGTGGTTAAAGCCCAACTCCATGATAAACTTAAAAACCCTCAAATACCTCCCTCCCCCCCAGCGAGCTGAAACCAGAACCTGCCCCTTTCTGTTTATGTCCTGATGGGGAGCTTCCTCTGGGTGTCCACATCACTTCCAGTGTGACATCTACAATTCATGTTGGCTGTCCATCAGAAAGTTCCTCTAAGGATCCAGAAGACTACTGATGTAGGCCCAAGGGAAGTCATGGGGACCAGCCAGCGAGGGTTACTGTGCAGTGCTGGATATTAGCGTTCCCAGCCATCAGAAATAGTATTAGTGAGGTACCTGGATGGGGGTACCCAGATGAGTATAATTGCTTCACCAGGTAAGAAAAACATCTGGCAGGGAAGGTTAGAGGGGGTTGGGAGGGAGTGATATAGGCAAAATTTCAGTTTTTAAGTGAGTTGGGCATATCTAAACACCAAAGCAGAAATGTAATCCATTGCAGTTTACCAATCTCTAGGCAGTGGCTACATTAGTTTTCTTTATTTTTTAGGCTTTTTTCCCTTACATTTCACTAGGTGATCTGACCAGTCACACACACACCTTCTGTCTTATGCTGGCTACACTCACTCCTCCCCTGTAACTATGGAGGAGCAACATAGCTAACCTTGGACAGCAGAATTGGCCACCTATGGGGAGGTTAGTGTTAGATGAACTAGCAGATGTAAATAGACTTTACATAAGTGATGAACAAATGAAAGACTAAGGCCCATAACCCAGAAAAACAAAGACTTCTGTGTTAACGCAATTGATAGACTGCATCATAGATGTAAATCTTTATTTTGCCCATAGTTCCACTTTAGGTCAAGCACAGTGTTCTTTGTCATTTATTTAATACCAGAATACAAAAAAACTTTTAATATGGCTCCAAGACATGACGGAAAGACCCAACCTTTGCAATTTGGGAGCCCCAGTCAGTGAACCTTTTATATTCACCGGGCCTGAGCAGATATTGCTTGCCCTTGTAGTTGGGGAGCTCATAGAATATCCAGTAACCATCTAGAACATTACAAGAATGGATTTCATGAGAGCAGAAGCGATCATAAACATTTGGACAATCTTCCAGGAATTCCATCATTTCTCCTTTGCAGTCACCTCTTTCATATACTCTGATTTTATTCATTCCAAATCCTAGGTGCTATAAAGAAAAACAAAAATGTATTAATTCAGCAAGTTTATTATTTTTAACATTATCTTACTTCAGAAGTAAGGCTATCTTCAGGATATCAACGCAGAAATTAGTATGAATAAAAAAAAATAAAAAAACAGGCGCAATTCTAAAATTCTAAATTTGTTGCTGCCCGGTGGGTGGTGACTCGGATCTTTGCTGAGTAATGACATAGTGACAAATGAATGGAACCACAGTGCATAGAGGGGAATGCCTCCGACACTTCTGGAGGTGCATTTGGTGCTAAAAATTCTTCAGCCGTCACAGCTCTTCAACAGAGCGAAGAACCGAAGCACTGCTTACTAGACACTTAAGTATTACTGATCCTGTTTTGCAGAAAGCTTGGAATTTCGGTGCAATAATTTGCATTTTAAATATAAGTCATTAAAATATAACTAAAGGCAAAACGTTTTTTAGTTTTTGATTAGAGTGTTCAAGGATTAGAATGCCTGTTAGGTCTTTATTGCTGTTCTTTACTTTTGCTTGGGAGATACACTCTCTTTTTAGAGGCACCCAGAACTGTGTATTGGGTCATACTAAAACTATTAAGGATAGTTGGATAGAGCTGGTAGAGCATTGCAAGCTCTCTACATATCTTTTCAAATTTCCCCAATGTATTACTATTGGCAATTTCTCCTCTACAAATGCACTAAAGTCTTGCACTGACTAAGTACGTTTCTGCAACTTGGGTTTCCTAGTTTTAAGTATAGCAGGTTAGAAATTAAGTTCCTTGCGAGCTATATGCCTGGATGCTATGCTTGGGATTAAAATATTGTGCAACTATGGCTTTTTTTTAGCCTTCATTGTAAAGTTGCCCATACACCTTACAATTTATCTGCAGATTTTCTGTGGTCAGATGGAAAAAGTGCAACAGATTGGCCCAGGTGGAGATTACTCCATTCACACAGTTAAGAGTAGATGGAGGAATCTGTTGCACCATTTCCATCTGACCACAGAAAATCTGTAGATAATTGTAAGGTGTATGGCCAGCTTAAAGCATATGTTGAGTTCTGTCCTGGCCAATTCTACCTTCATTTTGGATGGAATTTTAGCTTAAAGCATTGGTGTAATGTTATCCACAGCAGCTGCTATGAATTACAACAGCAAAAAGATATCCTTCAAATGTTTTTGTTCACTAGCATATAATGATATGCTTTAAATACATCATACTTTGCATCCTGTTATTCCTGGTATCCTGGCATTATGACAATTATTTTGTTAGTTGACCTACAAAATCAAATATACAACTCACTTGTGTGAGTAAACGACAGGATCTGATGGAATCATTGAGTCCCTGCCACTGCTGATAATCAGGATATTCTCCCCTCTTCAGAAAATACTGGTGTCCCATGTAATTGGGTCGCTCATAAAGCATCCAGTAGCCATTCTCTACCCGGACAGAGTTACAAGCATTGAAATGGGGTTGTAGATCAGGGTTATCACTGCTGCACTCAAAGGAGCGACCCTGGAAGTTCCTATCCTCATAGAAAATGATCTATAACAAAAATGCAAAGAAAGAGAGTAACATTAGGAATCATGCTTTGATTATAACTGGATCAATAAACATAATTACTAGGACATATACCTAGGTAAATGTTCTTAGATTTTATATAGTGTACATTACAGATTGTATTGTACAATGCTTGAATTTTAATGACTCATGTTTGGAAAGGTTGCCTGATTAATATAGTAGGTAAAGTGACACTAAACTCAGGAGTTCAATCTCAAAAATGCATTAGAGTACCTTAACTATTAACAACAATGTATCTTATTTGTGTATCACTCTGCTGTAAAACCTTCAAATTATCTCTGAATTGGTGCTGCCATTGTCCACTTTTGGCCACTTATGTTCCCCATGGTCCCTGTGTGTCTTGTAAAGTAGCCACCACTCCAAGCTCACTCCTGTGATAGACTATAACTTCAATACATGTTGGTAAAATAAATGTCATATTGTAGTGCACCACTGGAACGAGCTTGGAGCAGTGGCTACTTTACAACACACACAGGGACCATGAGGAACAAAAGTAGCCACCCTCCAGAAGGAAGGACAGTGTCAGCACCAATTCAGAGACGATTTGAGGACCTGCAGCCGAGTGATTTACAAATAAGATGCATTTGTGTTAATAGGTAAAGTACTTGAATTTTTTTTAAGGTTTAACTCCTGAGTTTAGTGTGACTTTAACTAATTCTAATTATGTTCGATTTGACAACATTAGAACAAATAGGATTTCTCAAATGAATGTTACGGTCACACTAGGAAAGACAACTTAAATATATGAAAATAACATTTTCCATATATTAAAAAAAAATTCCAAAGGGTATTATTTGCGACTTTTTGCTAACACATTAGCACAGCAATATTCTTCTAAATAGACCTCCTGAGTGTTTGTTATTGAATCTGTGTTTACTTCAAACACATCATCACTTTCATAAGAATTTTATTTTACCAAAAATAGGAAATATCTGTATATTGTGAAATGCTTGATAGAAACACACCTGGGCTAGAAAAAATAAGCATAGTTTCACATTTTAATTCACGTATTAGTACTGTTCTTGTTATAGTCTATTTGTAAATATATATATTTTTTAAAAATCTACAAGTTTCAAATGTTGTTTACCTTCCCCATTCTTGCAGTTGTCTCTGGAAGTACCACTTTAGATGTGTGGCTAGAAAGATGGCTTTTTATGGGATAACTCCTGTGCTGTATCTGCAGAAATAAAAGAACAATGGCAGCCTGTTTTTGTTTAGTAAGATGATTTCCCCCTCTGTCTTCCTCGGTAATGCTGCTCTCACTGGACTGCCAGTTTTGCTGAATGTTTAGTCAACTTGACACTACATTCTGGCACCAATTTAAAGGAAACACTGGGTGTAACTGATGAATACCCCTCATCTTCTGTTTTGGAACTACGATAAGAATTCCTTCCAGGATTTGAATTTTTAAGATCATACATGCAGCATACATGCATGTATTTTTTTCATGTTCAGTGGCGGTGCAGTTGCAGTGTGTCTCACATTTGCAGAACTTGCAAAGAGGTCTCAATTCACCTTCTGGTGATGCTGACATCATCCTTACTCTCCAGAAGATCAGCACAATCTTTCTTCAGGCATTATCCAAGGCAATGGAAAAAAATATAAATTCAATTTCATCACAAATCCTTTTTCCACAATAATAATAATAATATTTAATTTGCAAACTTTTGTAATTCTCTACCCCTCTAGTTGGTAGAGCAGATATTTGTCTAAATATTTATGCCATCGCTTAATACAATTTCTTAATACGTTTACTTTTACTCCGGTGAATCTTCACGCACATTAACATAATATTCCATAATTACATAAGAAAACAGTTGTCTCTGCATGTCTGTGACCCATGGCACAACCCCTTTCAATCATCTGCCCTATATTTCTTTAAAGCTACTGAAATTAAAATAGCATCAAATGTTTATCAGGGCCTTATATTAATCTACAAAAGTACATTTTCAAAGAATAAAGTAAGTTGTTGCAGAGTTAGCTTTCTGAGCCACCCTGCTAATGTATCCCAAAACTTCTTAGTCTTACTGCACTCATATAGCATGTGATTTAGATCTGGAAATGAAGAGCCACACTTAGGACACCTATTATCATTTTTGTTATATATTATATGTTATCTATTAAAATAAATATATTTTATATCCCTTCCTTTTAAATAAAATTCTCTAAAGTTAGCACTTATTGTAGTCTTACAGAACTTGATCTATCCCCCTGAAGCCCTATTTTTTATTTGTCTGTGTGGTAGCCTTTATATTTGGGCTCTGTGGACATATTTCTGACACACATCTTACTGTTATCTCTCGCTTTGCAAAAAAAAAAGTTACAGTCAAAACAATTGCTGGGGAAAGGGAGACTAAAGAAATGCATCCTTCTCCTTTCAGCATACTGATGACATAATTCCTCCAGACGTCACCTCCCAGACTAGGTACAGTCTCTAGCTTGGGGCTCAAGGACTACTTACTAATAAAAAAGGCACATTTTAAAAATATTATACAGTAGCTCTTTATTGGTAAATAAGGAAAAATTGGGATTGCAGTCCCCTGAGACAGCGCTACCCCGAGGGTGAGGGTGATTGGGTATGGGTTTTGTTCACGTTAGGTGTGCAGCTTCTAGGAATGCGGATCGGGGTGGCTGACGTTTGTCAAGGAGAACAAAAAATGGGGATAGAAGCGCTACTACCATAAGGAATTGGTTTTATGCAAAAATGGATAAACTTACCACAAAGTAATGGCTGATGCAATATCATCGACTAGGGGTGAATAGAAGGGGGACTTCCACTGGTGGGGATTGTGTACAATCAGTTCATCTTGTGGGAAGGTCAGGGGGAATTGAGGGTTAAGGGGGTGCTGGATGGTGGTGGGAGCCTGTGTCCGATTAGTGTATGGAAGGGGGGTGACAGGCACAGGTGGACATAGGCTGTTGGATGGTGTTGGGACTGAGGGGGGTAAGGTGCAGCTGGTGTGCACTGTGTTGCTGCTTGAGGATGATGGGCCTGGCGACTGAAAGTGACAGGTCAGTGTGGGCATATGCACTAGGCGGATCGGGTGTGTGTGTGGGGGGGGAGGGGACTGGGACGGAGCTCGAGGTGTCCAGCAAAGGATCGCTGATGGGAGTGTTGAGACTCCAACTTTGACACGTTTGGTGTCTATTTACCCAACTTGACCACATCTTTTATATTTCACCAAAATATGGGTAAGAATAAATGTGTTTTAACATAACGTAAGGAAAAACTTTTTTTCCCCGAAATTTACAGTACTTTTTTCATCATATAGTAAAAAATAAAAATCTCCGTGGTGATTAAATACCACCAAAATAAAGCTCTATCTGTGCCCCAAAAAATTATATTAAATATAAAATTAATTTCAGTGCAGTGTTGCATGACTGAATAAATGTCAGTCAAAGTACTGAAGCGCTGAATACTGAAAAATGGCCTGGCCAGAAAGGGGGTGTAAACATCTGGTCTTTAACTGGTTAAAGAAATAGGTAGAAGGATAAAGAATAAAAACTAGATTTCTCAACGTGTTGCTGACTATGTGATATTCAACTCTTGCAGAACCTTCAAACTGAGCTGCAACCTATATTGAATTGAAGGGTGTCAGGTGGGATAGATTGTACATCTGACTGTGTATCTGATGTTCTTTGTTGATGCCTGCGTACCTGATGTTGATGTCTGTGTACCTGATGCCCTTTAAAGCACTTCCAGAAACATACAATTGAGTTGTCACAGGTCGGCTAGAACTATGAGGTGAGTGGAAATCACTCATCTCATAGTTCTCCTTTAAAGCTAACCATACAAGTAAAGTGAAATCACTCCATTCCCTTATCCATGTAAAACAGCATGGATAGATGAATTTCCCCTGCTGGCTATTGAATTTCAACAGTCAACAATCACAGCTGATTGGCTGCAGTCACTATTCAGCCAACCTATTCCACCTGGTAGCTTCAATTTTTCAATTGTTCAGCTGGGTGGTGTAGACAGGGACACCCACAGCTTGAATTTCAGCTGATTTACAGGAATCAGCCAAAATTTGAGCTATGTATGGCCCGCTTTAGAACTAGTAGGTAGCCCAAGAGTCAAAGAATGGCATCTTCCACCTGAGGTTGCTTAAAGGGTAACTCCACTTTAAAAATATAAAAATGAAAAGTTCTTTAAAAAAATAATATAGCATATACAGTATAATTGTCACACAAGCCATTTTGTAATTTAATTTTTTTAGAAAATACCTTTCCATGTAAAATTGAAGTTGCTGTAATGTTCTAAATCTGTCAAAACATTAAATGCAATATTGCGACCTAGAGGCATTCCATACACAGTTCGTATAGGTGATAATGGAAGGCATGCGATCGTTTCTACTGTACGGTCGCACGTCTTTTGTCTTACGAGCAGGCTCGAAAACCCACCGAGAATCGTACGATTGTCGGCGGATTTGTGGCCTGCTCGTATGACAAAGGATCGCAAGTACGATCTGCCTGTCCAAGATGGGCAGATCGTACGCTTTTAAAATTACCTTACAACCATCGCAAGACAAACGTCTTGCGATGGTTGTAAGGTGTATGGCCAGGTTTACAAAAGAAAATTCATTTTTGATCAAATACTCCCTAAGGTTCAATTACTATTAAAGGGCTGCAGACACTGCACCTTTCCATATTAAAACACTGGAAGCCCACCAGCTGGTTATAATGAGCCCAGGCATTCCCATTCAGTAATCAGTTTGGAAAGGACATTCTGCAACAAACAGCTTTTTCTTCAGAACAGAAACAGCAACACATGTTGTTAAAATTATTGTAATGTACACAGATCACCCAGAGAGGAATACTTTTCTTTTCTCAACAAAAGTGGAATTACACTTTAAACAAGTATTTTGCTTATCGGGCACCTAAAGTACTTTACAGTATTCATGAATCTGGCAATTCTAGTTTATTGTTTTTTTTAAACAAATGTTTCACATGCATGGGAAACTCATTTCTAACAGGATTACAACCTACACCCCTTTAGTAAATACGCCCTAAATATTCCTTAGGATGTGTACAATAAAACTATTAAAAAGCCTAGAAAATACTTTGTCATTGATGGTTCAGTATCCATCAGAACCCTGTAAACTTCTAGTATTTAATTGTGGACAATAGTAGCATTTCTGCATTCAGCAAAATAAATACAGTCATGTCACAATGAGATTTCCACAAGCACATGATGCCGTAACAAAACAAGTATTAACAAAAGTTTTTACTAGAATAAACCCACACTATGCAGGACAAACTCTTTTCAATAGATGGGTCGATGTGACACTGTAAGTAGCTGATGACTGGTAACTACTGTATATGTACTAACAATGCTCAGGTGGCGTCATTGTTTTAACTAAGAGTTAATAGTTTGTCTTACAGCTGTTGGTGCTTGATTTACAAAAGTGTGAAGAACACTTTTTAAGCCATCAATAGAGGAGGTAAAGATCTGCACACTGACAGAATGAGTTTCTATATCATGAAAATGTCTGTATTATGAATATGAAATGCAGGCACAAACTTGCAAAACCCTCTTTTCATTGTTGCATATCCTGCCATTCTAATTCACAACAAGGCATCACTAGCAGTTCATACCATCGCCCCCAGTGGACAGAATCTCTTTAATTAGCCTTTATGTGTTTTACATTCATAGTTCCTAATTGTAAAGCAAAGGAGCATCCAACAACTGTTCATAAATAAAGTTTTACATTACAAATGTAAGGTGTTTTTATACATCTTGTCTTCTTTTACCTATAATTTCCTACATTTGGAGGAAAGTCTCAAGCTGCCATCACCAGCTCCACTTTCATTTACAATGAACGGCAGCACAATTGCCGGCTAGTGGAGGTAAAGATAAACATGTACTCATTACAATACTGTTTGCAAGGGATAAAAAAGATTAAGTAGTACCTTGACTAAAATGTATGGCATAAGATACAGTCAACAATGTCAGGCTGTGAAGAATCAGCATGCTCCTACCTTGTTGCAAAATGAATGGTACTGACGGACGAATCTGCCCAAGTGTTCGGCACATCTGGTTTGAAGTTCAGCAAACACAAATTTTGAGGTGAATCCCATGGAAGTCTATGGTGAATT